GGGGCTGGGCATCCCATCCCGGGGAAGAGTATCCGCAAGAAGTACTTGCCTTCCAGTCTCCAAGGAGCTGGGCCAGGACAGAGGGGACACAGGTGCCCTATGGGTCCCCCGACGGCTGCGCTACCACCAGAAGCCGGGAGTGGGGAAAACAGGAGGGGTTCTGGTGGAGGCAGGGGCAGGGGGACATCCTGGCTCGAAGTAGGAAGCGTTTTCTGAGTTGACGAGGTCTGAATGTGGAAGGAAGTGAACTCTCCCTTCCCTCAGGAGAGCAGGCAGGGTTGCCAGGGAACCCGTGCAGGTCACCGCTTCCTCCCTGGGTGCTGGAATCCTCAGGAAGCCCTGGGCACTCTCACGGGGGACAGGGGACAGTGGCCGGGCGTTGTACAAGCGTGTGCGTCTCCAGGATCAGGAGTGTCCCCCTCGGCTCTCCTCCAGCCCGCTAGCCCCTGCTTTTTCTGGGCAGCCCCTGGCCCAGAATCTCACCCCTGCCAGTCCTCTCCTGAGGTCCAGCAGAGCCCTGCCCACAGCCGCACCCCTGCTCCCTGGTCGCTTCTCCCCAGCCTACACTCCCCACTGGCAGTCTGTGGCCCTGCCTTTCTGACTCACTGTCTCCCCTCCACCCGGCCTGGTCAAAGTCTCCCTCACTTTAAGGCCCAATTCACATGCCTCCTCTTCCAGGAAGCCTACTCTGACTCCTCCCTGGGGCCCTTTGCTCCTATCTCTAAACCCTGAGTCCATCCCTTGTCTCCTCCACAAGACAGGCAGGGCCTCGTTTCTGTCCCCACCTGCACACGGCCCGTGGCCTGGCACAGAGCAGGCTGAGAGGCCAGCAGGAGGCAGAGCAGGAGGTGGGAGGGAGCACTCCTGGGTCTGCTGGGCCTGCCGTGGACTTGGGCTGTTGCCCTGGGAATGGGACGCTCAGCCTCTCCGACGCCCAGCTTCTGCACTTGGACGTGGGGACTCTTCCCAGGCGGGGTGGAGGGGCAACTCCAACACCATGACGGAAGCCCCTGGCCCTGCACCTGGTGCGTTTATGACTCCCTGGACCCTGGTTCCCATAGGAAAACATAGATAACCTGCTCCCGAGAGGCGTGGGAGCTGGGCTTGAGTCCACCAGTTGGATCAGGGCCCCCCTGCGGCCTGGTCCCACCCGCGTGGCAGCACCCCCCAGGCAGCAGTCTGGCCTCACGCTAGACCACAGAGACGCACCGAACCGCCCCACGTCTTGGGCGGTTGTGATGAGCTGTGTTGAGTTGATGCCGGCCGCTCGACCCAGAGCTTGCCAGGCCCCGGGCGCTGTCTTAAGTGCTTCTCACCCTCCCGTCCACCCTATGGATGAGCTCCTGCTGCTGTTGCCATTTGGCAGATGGGAACACCGAGGCTGCAGTCAGGTGCCTGGTGGTGCAGCAGGGACCCAGCCCCAGGAAGCCCGAGGCAGCCTGTCCGCCCAGCCTTGCTGCCACCCTGCCTCCCAGTCTCCACCCTGGACTGCTGGGACGGTCGCTGGAGGCCATGGCTACGACAACACTGTAGGAGCCACGCCCTGTGGGTGCTGAAGGTTGTGTTGGTGACCTTGCAGCCTCTTCCATACTGGTAGCTGAGGTCTGTGCCCCTGGACCTGGCTCTGCCCCCCAGCATCCTGCCATCGGTGCATACCGTCCACCCCAGGCAGCTCCTTGGAGACGTGGAGGGTGGATCCCTCTGGGCTGAGCAGCCCGGCTCCTGCACTCAAGCCAGGGCTGTGTGGAGTGTGTGAGGGGGGCAGGTGTATGGCCCCTGGTGTGGAGTTTGAACGGCCCACGAGTCAGGCCTGGCCCTGGCTGAGTGCTGGCCTAATGTGCAGAGAGAGGAATGGCCTGGTTATAGCTGTGCCTGCCCAACAGGCTTTTAGCAGCTCAGCTGGAGCCCTGCAGACTGGCTGATGTCTGCTAACGCCAGTGGTCTCTAGGGTGGCCCGGCCATCTGGTGTCCACCGAGCGGGCTGGGGCTGGGGCTTCTGCTCGGCGAGGCCAGGAGGAGCTCTGGCCCCAGCCCAGCTCTCCAAGGGCCCTCCCCGAGTCTGTGGCTGTGGCTCAGCAGGAGGCTGGAGGTCTGGGGCTGGCTGGGCGCCCTGGGCAATCTGCCTCCTGCCAGCCCAAGGCCAGCTCGCCGCAGCTCTTCCTGAGCACAGAAACTGGGGCACGGCCCTGGGCCCCCCGAGAGCTGGCAGTGGCCCTCAGCAAAAGACCTGAACTGCTCATGCCCTTTGACCCAGGAAATGATCCAAGAGAAGGGGAAGGCTTTGTGCTGGAAGGGGGCACTCCCTCCGAGCACAGCGAGACCACTGCAGGCTCCCACAGCCCGCACCAAGGGCCTGGGACTGCTCCCCGCTGCCCAGTGACCCCAGGCAAGTCCCTGCTCCAGTCTAGCTTCCCTCAGTCTAGGGCCAGGGAGAGAGTGCTATGATCCATTAGTGATGCCTGCCACAGGAACAGGAGCAAAGAGCTTGGCTGTGAACTCGCCGTTCCTGGTCTCTGAGAGCCCTGCCAGCATTTATAACAGATTTTTGTCTGATCTTAGGACTCATCTTTTCAAAAAATAAAGTCAGTAGTTTTGTTTTTATATTTTTAAAGATTTATTTTTATTTATTTGAGAGAGAGAGAAGATTGAGATCTTCCATCCACTGGTTCCCTTCCCAGATGGTCACAGAGGCTGGGCCAGGCCAAAGTCAGGAACCTGGAACTCCATCCAGTCTCCCACTTGGATGCAGGGGCCCAAGCACTTGGCCATCTTCCGCTCCCTTCCCAGGCACGTTAGCAGGGAGCTGGGTCAGAGCAGAGCAGTGGGGACTCCAAGCAGCACCTGTATGGAGGCCGGCATCACAGACAGCAGCAGATTAACCCACTGCCCACACTGCCAGTCCCGAGATGCTAACCACACAGGGTGCGGAGTGGCTGGGTGCTGGGCCTTAGGAGACCTGAACCGGGCCTCTGGGTGCAGCGTCTCCCTCCTAGGCTCTGGCTCCAGGGGCAGCCCTGACGATGGCCGCCCGTCCTCCCGGCTGGTGGAGGAAGCCAGCCATCCGGAAGACATGGAACCTTCGCCCATGCCTTTACACACCAGGAACACATGACAGATCCCCACTCTTGCCTCCTCTCTCCGTGTGTATGTGCAAGAGTGACTTTTTCTGCACCACTTTAGCCCTTGAATACTTGAATGCCTGCTGCACGTCGGAACATCCCCCTACATAATCATGGTAATGTTATCAGCTTCTGTAAGCCCCGCCTACAGTGATGGTTTCCCGTTCTCGGGCACGGCGGGCCAATAGTGGGGTCTAAGGCCGTTTTCCACAGTGCAGGGCGCTGGGTCGGGCATAGTTTCCGGGTGACAGCTGGGACCAGGCTGCCAGCTGCACGCCAGTGGCTCCGGTTGTCTGCGTCTCAGTTTGCCAGGGGTGAGCCCGGAGGCCCTGTGTCTGTTCTCGGCGCTGCTGCCCACTTGCAGCCTAATGAGCAAACTCAGGGACCACCGCCGTATCCCTGCTGGGTCACACCATCTCTGTGTCACACAAAAGTGCCGTGGTCTTCTGCGGAGTTGGGAAGGGAGGGGAGGGGCTTGGCTGTTCTGGGTCCACGTCATCCTTGAAAGTTCTTTGTGAAATCCCGAGACTGGTACTTCTGCAAGATTAAGGACTGTGCCCCGTGCTGCCCTGGAGTCAGGTGCATCAGCTCAGGGCTTTGTGGGAGCCGTGCCGGCAGGCGGAGGGCCTGGGGCCCAGCCCCCATTCTGCCAGGGCCCTGCAGCAGGGCGTCAGGCAGATGGAATGGGCTGGTCAGCGCCCATCCCACGCTCCCGTGATTAAACTGCTGTGGTCACCTCTGAGCCCAGGAGGACCGTGTGTGTCTGGAGTTGCAGATCTGAGCTGCAGGCTGTGTGACAAGGGCTGTAGGACCCGTGTGTGCCTCCCAGCACCTACACGGGAGCTCACAGACAGGAGGCGGGGAAGGAAAGGAATTTTATGATATTTGAGTTATGCCATTGAAACAATAAATCACAAACCATAAAAACACACCATTTCCAAGTATATGATTCAGTGGCTGTTAGCGCATTCATAGTAATTGTCACCATTGCTTAATTTCAAAATTTGCTTCATCAGCCCGAACTCAAACTACACGCCTGCAGCGGGGCCCCTCTCCCTGGTCCTGGGTGACGGCTCCCCGGGGTGACGGCTCCTCGCCCTCTCTTGCTGCGGGTTGGCCTGCTGTGGGTTGTTCATAGGCAGCACGGATCTGCGTAGCAGCTCCCAGGGGCCGAGTCCGTTTGCTCAGGCAGGGCGCCCACACGCAATCCGTCAGCCACCTGGAAAATCGCGCATGATGAGGCTTTTCTCTGGTCTGGCTTCTTTCACTTGGCCTAATGCTTGGGGGTTCATCCGTGTCCAGGATGCCTCCGGACTTCCTTCCCTGTTTCTGGCTGACAGTAGGTCGTGTGGATCCACTGCTAGTTTGCACCGGGTGGGTATTTGGCTGTTAGGAATAGTGCTGCTCTGAGCATTGGGGAGCAAGTGTTTTATCAACCTGTGTTTTCATTTTTTTGGGGGCCATTCCAGGAGTATAACTGCTGGCCCATGGTATCACCGTGTTTAGCCATGGGAGGGTCCCCCAGTGCTGGCCCATTCTCCATTCCCCCCCAGCAGCGTGTGACGGGGGGGACCCTGCTCCTGAACACCTGCCGTGTGCTGGAACCGGCACAGGGCCCCTCCGTCCCCACCCCGGGGTCCTTACGCCGGCCGGTCCCACACCTGCCGTGGCCTCCTTGTCCCGAGGAGGGCACAGAGGCTCCGAGGAGGGAAGACGCTGCCCCGGCGTCACCCAGGGAGCAGGTGTCAGGGCCTAGGTTCGCACCACCTGGGCCCCTCCCATTTTCCTGTCTGCGTAGCGACTGCTGCCCGACTGAGTGACCGTCAGGAGGCTAAAGTCCCGTGAGCCTCCTCCCCACCCCTTCTGGGCGCTGTCTTGCAGACGGGAAAGCTGGACCCCCACTACCCGAAGGTGTGCGGGCACAGAGGGAATGTCCTTGACATCAAGTGGAACCCCTTCAATGACTTCGAGATCGCTTCCTGTTCTGAAGATGCCACGGTGAGTGTCGGCCCCCGCGCCACGCCCCTTTCTGGAAATGCACAGGGCTGGGGCGGGGTGGGGGCGTGCCCCCGAGGGCGGTGTGAGGCCCCTGCGTGGGGCAATGAGTGTTAGCTTAAACAGAAGAGGAGCTCTTTGCACTGTGGGACTGGGGGTACCGTCTCTCCTCCCCACAGGCCTCAGTTTCCCCCCTGTAAAATGGGCGTAAGAGCCTTCCCCCTATCCAATGAAGTTCATATTGCAGTGGGCAAGCCCACCATTGGGGAGCTATAAAATGCTGTGAAGGGCAGTCTTATTGTGCTAATGTCACACACACAGTGGGGGCGTGAGCTTTGAAAGGATGAGAGGAGAGCCTCATATGAATGTGAACCCCAAAACATCCCGGAACGTCAGGCCCACCGACTTTCCCGAGCTCCTGTTGTGCACAGGAGCAGATGCAGTAGGTGTCGCTTAACACAAAAGACGAGTGGAGGAGGTGAGGAAAGACTAAACACATCGACTATGGGAGGGTGCAGTGGTTGTGTACCTGGTGCGGCTCAGAGCTCCCTGGCAGCCCAAGTGAAAAGGGAAATAGAATGTAGTGCAGAGAGAGCTCTCACTGTTTGATGTGATCAGATGACCAAAACAAGGATAAAAGTCACAGCTGCCCCTCCCTGCGTCCCGTCTATCCCTGACTTTTGTGATACTTGTCATTTCATTGAGCCTCCCTGGCAACCCCACAGTGTAGGATTATTTTTGTGTTTTGACTTTCAATTATTTGAAAGGCAGAGGGAGAAAGAGACCCCTCTTTCATCCACTGGTTCTCTCCCCACATGGCGGCAGCAGCCAGGCCCAAGCCAGGAGCCTGGAACTCAGTCTGGGCCCCCTGGTGGCCGGCAGAGACTCAGCCAGCTGAGCATTGCCTGCTGCCTCCAGGGGGCGCATCAGCAAGCAGCTGGAGCAGAAACGGACGGGACTGCAGCTCAGGCACTCCGACAGGGGACATGGGTGTCCCAGGCATCATAACCGTTCTCTTCCCACTGCTATACCACTTCCCTAAAGAGCAACAGAGGGAGGAAGCGAGGAAGTGCCAGAAACGTTGGCTATGGAAGATTGCATAGCTCAGAGCTCCCTGGTGGCCCAGGCGAAAAAGGGAAATAGACTCTGTTGCAAGTTGCAACCCTACTGCGGGACCAAAGGAAGCAGCGCTGCTTATCAGGGAGGCAGGCAGAACGTTGTCGCAGGACTTGCGTCCCTTTCCGCAGGGTGGATGTTGGGGAACAGCAGGACCGGCAGTGTCTGCGAGGTGGTCTCGCTGACGGGCTGTCAGGCCCTGGGGCCTGGCCCTGTCTCCAGCGAGTGCAGGATATTAAACTTCTGGCACCTTCTCCCCATCACCTCGGTTCCTTCCCAGAAGCCTCAGGGGCAGGGTTATGGGGGAGGGGGTGGGGTGTCAGTTCTTTCCTGTAAAGTGCTCAGGTCCCCCCACCCCTGCTCCCAGGGCCTGAGGGCAGGGACGAGCTTCTAGCCCTGGGGTTCCTGGTGCTTTCGGGTTGAGCAGGCACCTGCACCTCCCCAAACAGGCCTGGCCAGTAACCGCCCTCGGCAGACCCATCTGTTTGCAGCTCGGGGCCTGCCTTCCTGGTATGAAACCCAAAACGACCAGGAAGTCAATATTTGCTGAGCCGAGAACAAAGCCGTCCAGCCGAGAAGCCTGTGTCTCAGAGAAGCGGAGCCGGGCCGGAGGACCCGGCAGGACAGCCCGGAAGGCCCGCGGGCACCGCCCCTGGCTCCAGCGCCCGCTGCCTCGTCCACGTCTGCCTCCGTGGCAGGGCGCTCGCTCCGCTAGCGCCCCCTGCCGTCCGTCCCTGGCCCGGCCCCCTGGCTTCCAGCCTGTCCTCTTCCGGGCCATCCAGGGCGCCCTGCGGAGCAGGAAGATGGCCCTGTCCCGTGCTGCTCCAGAGCCTGCGCTGGCTCCCAGGTGCCCTGAGGGCCAGCCTGGTGCTGCCTTGCTCGTCCTGACCCTGAGCTTCCGCCCTGGGCCTTGAGGGCGAGGTGGGGGCGGAGCCCTGGCCCCGGAGGGCTGGGCTGAGCTGCAAGGCAGCTTCGCTGTGGCATCCAGCGTGGGGACACGCCTGCGCCCATCCACCTGCCCAACATGTCCAACCGTACAGGTGGCCAAGCATCCCCAGGGGCGGGTTGGGGGGTGTGGGCTCGTCTCTGCTCAGCTGGAGGACTGTGGCGAAGCCCGTTCCTCCGGGGCGCCCAGCTGTCCTTGACCCGTGGAGAGATGGATTTGGAGACTTTGCCCACTGCCTCTGCCGAGCACTGCCGGGTCCGTGGCTTGGGGTGGAGAAGGCAGGGAGGCGGCCCCGACTGACCCTCCCGTGGGCCGTGTCTCCCCTGCCAGATCAAGATCTGGGCCATCCCCAAACAGCTGCTGTCCAAGAACCTCACGGCCTACAGGAAGGAGCTGATGGGCCACGCGCGCAGGGTGGGCCTGGTGGAGTGGCACCCCACGGCCGCCAACATCCTCTTCAGCTCCGGCTACGACTACAAGGTGAGCAGCCTGCGTGGCCCTCTCCAGGGCTGCCTTTACAGCTGTCACCATTCTAGAGACAGAAACCCTACCTGGAGCTGAGCTCTTGGGGGAGATCGGCGCCCCCTACAGGCTCCAGAGAGAATATTCCTTTTTTTTTTTTTTTAAGTATTTATTCATTTATTTGAAAGCAGACTTAGAGAGAGAATCTTCCATCTGCTAGCTCACTCCCAGATGGTTGCAACGGCCAGAGCTTGGCCAGGCCAAAGCCAGGAGCCAGGCGCTCCATCCAGGTCTCCCAAGTTTTGGGTGGCAGGGACCCAAGGCCTTGGGCCATCTCCCACTGCCTTCCCAGGAGCATTAGCAGAGAGCCAGGTCGGAAACGAAGCAGCCGGGACTCGAACCCATGCTCGTGTGGGATCAGGGTGCAGGCGGTGGCTTAGCCTGCTGCACCACGACGCCAGCCCTGGGCGGACCTTCCTGCCCTGTCCGGGGTCTGGTGGCTCCAGGTGCGCTTCACTCTGTCACTTAGCAGTGTCACTCCAAGCTCTGTGCTCCCACAGCCTCTCCCCGTGCGCCCGCAGGTCCTCTCCTAACCCGTTGTGACTGCACCTGAGCTAACGCCATCTGCAAGAGCCTCTTTCCACCCGGGCTCACATCTCGCATTCTGAGTTGGGGGGTGGGGGGTTGGGTTTGGGGAGACGCTGTTGAAGCCGTCACATCCTGCCAGAAGGGAATGGACCAGGCCTGCCAGGGCATCTGCCCTCTGCCCTGCTGGCTGCCGGGGGGACTGTGGGCCCCACGGCTGGGGGAAGTCCTGGCACAGGAGAGCTGCATTCCTCCCACTCCGCCTCCGGTTTGCGGGATGACCCGAAAAGTCCCTTGCCTCCTCCAGGCCTCGGTTTCCCAACCTGAAGACAAATAGGATTTCAGACTCTGCCCTTCTGACCCCGCAGCAGTTTGCAGAAGCAGCCGTGATGAGGAGAGGGTTGCTGGACCTCGGGGCCAGAAGTGCTCTTTCTCCTGGTTCTGCAGGGTGGGTCTGTGGGGCTCCCCGGCAAAGCTGTGTGCATTATTCCACACCCGCCTCCAGGGGGCGCTCTTCACACGGCCGCGAGTGTACAGTCTGTGTCACCACCCCAGGCAGTCCTGTTTGTCCATGCCAGGTGGGACCTGCTGCTTGTGACTGTTTGAAATCCTGGCATTAGCTGATCCCTTGGGGTCTTCCCAGCGTGATGTTCCGTTGCAGGAAGGCAGATGGTGTTTTGCTTTCGAGGCTAAATGGCCCTGCTCCCGGCTTCCCCCTCCCGCCATGCTTGGCCTCAGCCTGAAGATCCGCCCTCTGACCTGAGGCTTCCCAGCCAGGCTGCCAGCTGCAGCTCCCCTCCCAGGAATACTGTGTCTCACGGCAGGGTGCTGGGGCGGGGGTGGCCCTGTGCTCAGGGGCCCGCGCTGTGCCGCGCAGGTGATGGTCTGGAACCTGGACACGAAGGAGGCAGTACTCAGGAACCCCGTGCAGACGATCACTTGCCACCAGGACGTCATCCTCTCCATGTCCTTCAACACCAACGGCAGCCTGCTGGCCACCGCCTGCAAAGACCGAAAGATTCGGGTGCTCGACCCCCGAGTGGGGACCGTCCTCCAGGCGAGTGCTGGGCCCCAGGGGGCCACGGGGCTCCCGAGAGCAGGGCAGTGAAGCCGCCAGCAGCCGCGCCCAGGCTTTAGGGGCGTAGGCTGCACCCCCAACCCCCACCCAAGCCTGTCCCATTAGCACCACTGGGAGATAGGGTTTGCCGGCTCCATTTTTCAGATGACAAAACTGAGGCCAAAGAGAGATGAAGGGACCACACTGAGAGCTGGCATTTGAATCGGATCTGACTCCAGAGCTGGTCAGTGTGCCTCAGCGCTGTCCCTGGCCGGCGTCAGGAGACCTGAGGGCGCACTGGTTGTCAGCCGTGTAACCTCGGGCAGGCAGCTGCTGCTCTCTGAGCCCCTTCCTCCTTGTCTGCAGCCATGGGCTGACATCCTGCCTCTTAGGTGACTAACTGCACCAACCCATGTGGCAGTGGCCACCCTGCTGTCACTGGGAGTGCGGAGCTGGGCAGGGGTTTGTCTGTGACTTTGCTCAGAAAAAGAATTGCACCGATAGCAAGAAGGGATCCGGGAAGACTTCCTAGAGGTGGTGGCCCTGGGAAGATTCCCCAGCAGAGTTGGGGTGAGGAAGGAGGAAGGCCTTGTCCAGGTGGGACAACAACATCAGCAAAGCAGGGAGGCCAGAACCACCTGCTGCCATGGGGGTCCCCTCCCAGCATCTCCCCGACGCTGACCGCACCTGTCCCTGCAGGAAGCCAACTACAAGGGGCACCGAGCCAACAAGGTGCTATTCCTGGGCAACCTGAAGAAGCTGCTGTCCACAGGCACGTCCCGATGGAACAACCGGCAGATGGCCCTGTGGGACCAGGTGGGTGTCACAGGCACTCTGCTGCCCCCGCCCCACACCTTCCAGCAGGCTGCTGGCCCCATTCGTCCACTCACTTCTCACGCACCTGCATGGTGTGGGCCGCCGTGAGCTGGGGGCCGGGGATGGTTAGCAGGGAGAGCTCGCAGCCCACGGGGCAAGCCCAGGCCTCATGCATCTTGTCACGCGACAAGGGAGGTGGGTCAGGCCCCGGGAGAGGCACGGAGCCTGGGACCTGGACCAGGGGAAGTGACCCAGAGGCAGCACTGCAGCACAGGTTTGGGGGTGAAAACTCAGTGGGTGTGGGCACGGGGGGCGTGTGGGGGGCAGAGGGGAGGCCGGGCCAGCAGTGTTGCTGGAAGGAGCACTTGACAGGAGTCCCAGACACTCACGTTCCCCTGCTTCATCTGTAAGATAAATGTCAGCTAAACACAGGCTAGGGTGGGGGGGAGCGGAATGCGATCCGATGCTCCAAAGGGGTTTGTTGAGCGCCGGCAGGTAGGGAACCTGGCCTCACGGTGCCTTTGAAACGGCGTCTCCACCAGGGGGCAGCCTACTGTTGGACCTCGCAGCTAAGGCGATGCTTGGGAGGCCACATCCGGTGTCTGAGTGCCTGCGTTCATTCCTGCTGATATGCACGCTGGGAGGCAGCGGCTGATGGCTCAAGTCCTTGAGTCCTTGCCGCCCACCTGGGAGCCCTGGGTTCAATTCCGGGCTCCTAGTTTTCAGCGTGGTCCAGCCCCAGCTGTCGTGGCCGTCTGGGGAGTGAACCAGCAGATGGGAGATCTCGCTGTCTCTGCCTTTCAAATAAAGAAAAACACTAAAAAAAAAAAAAAAAAAAAAAAAAAAAGCAGAACCAGAGACATCTTCCCCACAAGAAGGGTCTCCCTCTCGCTTGCTCTCACACGCACACACACACATGCACACATGCATACACACGCACATGAACACACACAGAGCCCTGCGGCAGGAACTCCTGTCTCCGAGGGCACCCCCGGGGCCCCTGGAGCGACTCATGGCCTTCCTGATCTCCCTCCCCTTGCAGGACGACCTCTCTGTGCCTCTCACGGAGGAGGACCTGGACGGCTCCTCGGGAGTGCTGTTCCCCTTCTACGATGCCGACACCAACATGCTCTACGTGGTGGGGAAGGTGGGTGGCTGCCTAGAGCCCTCGGGCGGGAGGCAGAACGCTCCAGGGCCTGCCCTCAGGGGTGGGCAAGCCTGCCGGCCACTCATCCCCCACCTGCTTGCTCCCCATCTCTGGGTGCAGCTGGGGAGGGGCAGTGGGTGCTTGGGGCAGAGTGGGTCTACACTGGGTAGGACTCCTCCTGGTCCTGACCCACTCCTGCCAGGAACGGCACCCAACGTCATCATGACTGCCAGGAGTGTCCCCAGGGTCAGACCCACTGGTTCTGAGCTGTGTGAGCGGCTCTGGGACTGGGGCCTGTACTGCCAGGGCCTCTGCCTCGCAGGAATGAGGGTGGGCTTTGGGTCACGGTTGGGAGCTGAGCGTTAAACTGAGGACCCCTTCAGCTGCCGCAGTCCCTGGTGTCCCCTGTGCGAAGAGTCTTTGCCAGTGGTTTGCTCTGTGAAAGCCAGGTTTTTGCTGCGTGGCAGTGGGGGCGTGGGGAGGGGACTGCTGGCTGGGGCCCCACCTCTGAACCCCACCCTCCTCCTCCTCAGGGAGACGGGAACATCCGCTACTATGAGGTGAGCGCCGAGAAGCCTCACCTGAGCTACCTGACTGAGTACCGCTCCTATAACCCGCAGAAGGGGATCGGTGAGCACCGGGCCCGGGCACGGGGTGGCCCAGCGTGGCACAGCTGCAGTCTGGCAATGCCCAGCTCCTTCTTAACTGTGTTTCAGAATTTAGAAAGACCCAACATTGTGTTCCCTAAAATAAACCCACCCTAAACATAAAAGGACACAAAGTAACCAGCTGGAGAAAGATATACCAGGCTAACACAAATTGAAAGAAAGCTGCAGGGCCAAGCCTTTCAGCCTAGCCATTAAGGCACCTGCCCCACATCGGAGTGCCTGGATTCTCAGCTCCAGCGCCTGACTCATTTCCTGCCAGGGCAGGCCTAGGGAGGCAGCAGTGATGACTTGGGTAAGTGGGTTCTAGTGCTCACAGAGGAGACTCAAACTGAGTTTCCAACTTCCAGCCCAGCCCCAGCCATTGTAGATATTTGAGGAATGAACCAGCAGATGAGAGGTTTCTGGCTGTCTGCCTCTCTAATGATTTTAGGAGAAGGAAGCTGGAATAGCTGTTGGAGGGTACTTCAAAAACTTCAAGGAAAATGGAATCGTTTAGGAGCAGGTGTTGTGGTGCAGAGGTTAAGCCGCTGCTTAGGGTGCCTGCATGCCATATCCGAGTGCTGGTTTGAGTCCCAGCTGCTCTGCTTCCAATCCAGCTTCTTGCTAATGCATCCCGGAAGGCAGCAGAAGATGGCCCAGTGCTTGGGTTCTTCTCACTCATGTGAGAGACCTGGGTGAAACCCCTGGCTCCTGGCTTCAGCTGTTGCAGACACCTGTGGAGTGAATCCGCACATGGAGAGCTTCTCTCTTTTCTCTCTCTCGCTCGCTGTCACTCTGCCTTCCAAGTAGATGAAAAATACATAAACATTTTATTAAAAGATGACTTTAGTTTGGTGCAAGACAATTCCAAATCCATGCATAGTGTTCTCATAATGCGCCTTCCCCATGAACTTTTTTTTAAATGATTTATTTATTTATTTGAAAGTTACACAGAGAGAAGGGGAGGCAGAGAGAGAGGTCTTCCATCCACTGGTTCACTCCCTTATTGGCCCCAATGGCTGGAGCTGGGCCAATCCAAAGCCAAGAGCCAGGAGCATCTTCTGGGTCTCCCACGTGGGTGCAGGGGCCCAAGGACTTGGGCCATCTTCCACTGCTTTCCCAGGCCATAGCAGAGAGTTGGATTGGAAGTAGAGCAGCCGGGACTTGAACTGGCACCTACATGGGATGCTGGCGCTGCAGGCGGCAGCTTTACCCACTATGCCACAGCGCTGTCCCCTCCATGAACTTTTTAACAACCTGGTGTTAGAACACGGGTGCCGTGAGAATAGACAGGAGACTTGAACCAAGCAATCTGCTTGTAAAAGCCAGGCTGAGATCACGTGTGTAAGGCTGTCACAAAACATATCAAACACCGGAGTAAGGGAAAGGGGTTCTTGGTGGGGGAAACCCAACAGACCAGAGGGAAGGGGCGAAGAAAGAGAGGAGGAGAGCATAAGAGAGAGAGATCAAGAGACAGAGAGAGAGCCACGTGTTCAGGAACAGGTCCTCTTAAAGCTTTGCCAGGGGACAGGCAGGAAGCAGGAGCAGCGAATCCGATTAGGATGGGGGTGGAGATGACACCGGTGGTTGGGCCTTGTGGTCACCTGGCTTCCAGCAATGGCGGCGGGCGCCAGAGCCTAGGATGGTGTCGGGGCAGACATCGCGCCACAGGTAAGACTGCGCCATTCCACCAGCAACGTGACTCCTCGAGGGTGGAGACACAGTGGGAGTGTTTGAACTCCACTTCCCTGGCACAGGGCCCAGCCCAACCTAGGGGTTTGCTCCTAAGCCGTCTGCCGAGGGGACACGGAGGGAGCAGCGTGGACTCTGTTCACGGCCAGGTTCACCGCCTGACTCTGCCCTCGCGTGGGGGTCCCTGTGGCCTGCAGTCTCACGGGAACCTCTCAGCACCCCCTTTGGCGTCTACCCACAGGTGTCATGCCAAAGAGAGGTCTCGACGTGTCCGCCTGCGAGATCTTCCGCTTCTACAAGCTGATCACAACCAAGAGCCTCATTGAGCCCGTGTCCATGATTGTGCCTCGGCGGGTAAGGCCCGTGGGGACCCCCGTCCTGGGGAGCACAGGCCCGGGGCACTGCTCCAGGGGAAGGCCTTTGTTGAGGTCAGTGTGATGTCACAGGTGGGTGCGGCCCTGCCTGTGTGGCTCGGGTAAGCGGCCTTGCTGTGTGGCCCCGGTCTGCTCAGTCCCACAGGGAATGGAGAGGGCCTAAGCGGCCGGCTGCCTCCCCCGTGGGCAGCCCGCCCCCGGCCCCCTCACCAGCTGCATTTCTCCTGCAGTCAGAGTCCTACCAAGAGGACATCTACCCACCGACGGCAGGGGCCCAGCCCTCGCTGACGGCCCAGGAGTGGCTCAGCGGGATGGACAAAGGTGAGCCTGGCAGGGAAGAGGCCTCGGGCGAGCAAATGGCAGGAACATGGGCTGCCCAGGGGCTGAGGGGGTCAGCGCGTATTTGATCCCCCCGGGGGCCTTGGCAGTCAGTCCCCACTGGCCAGGGTGGTCACCTACTGGCCTTGACCCGAGGGATCCAGGAAACCCTCTCAGGTCGGAGAGTGGCCCATGCACATGTCGCTCTACAGGGGCTCCCCAGCCTGAAATAAGAGACTCCACGGGGCCCTTGTCCATCCCCACCCCACTGCAATGATGACCCTTCCCCCCCCAAGAGACCCTAGGCAGCCACCCCCACCACCTGCAGGATTCGCTGTCCCTCTCCTGTCTGTGAGCCCAGAGTTAGGGTCACAATGTGTGCTGTCCTCCCCAGGCCCCAGCAGCCCCCCTTCCACTCCAGGGGACCTCCTGGTGGACTGGACCAGTGCCAAGCCCCAGTCTCGTGTCACCATAGACAGATCCGGCCCCCTCCCTGGGCCAGTTTCCTTGTCTGTCTGTATCCCTAATGTCTGCTTCTTCCGGGGGTGTGGCGGGCAAGGGTGCTTGGAAGAACTGATGAACCTGACAGTGGCAGAGTAGTGGGGGGGGGGCTGTCCTTACAAAGCCAGGACCCTTGAGGAGTCCGCAGTGTTTGGCACCGCTCCAGAGCACATTCCCTGCTGTTTCCACCAACCAAGCTTCACGTAGAGGGTGACACCAGGCATTTCATTCCGAATGCCCCATCCGGGCGTTTGTGCCTGGCTGCAGGTGGCTGTGTCTGTGCGCGTGCGTGTGCCTTTGTGGTTCTCCACGTGTCCTTGTGTGCCTGCCCGGGTTGTGTCCCAGCGTGCATCTGCTCGTGGCTGCTCAGTCCTCTCACCGCCCTTTGCTTCCTCCTCAGGGCCAGTCCTGGTGTCCCTTAGGCCTGGTTCCCAGGTTCTGAGTCCCCGGCCGCTGCCTCCAGAGAGATCCCTGTCCAACTCTATGGGCCTGGCCCTGGACCAGCCAGACAAGCCGACCGCAGAGGATGGCCGGAGGTCCTTCTCCCTATGGGAGGAGAAGGGGCCCCGGTGGGCAGCAGAACACAGGCTGGAGGAGAAGAAATCCTGGCTGACGAATGGCTTTGACATTTTCGAATGCCCCCCACCAAAGACAGAGAACGAGGTGTGAACGAGGGTGGGGAGCTGGGGCGGGGGCGGGTCCCCACTGCCCTCCACCTGCAGGACAAGACCAAGGAGGAGGGAGGGGAAATTCGGGATGAGAAGTGTAGCCAGGCCCTGTGGCTTAACTCGTTCTTTTTAAAAATTAATCCACTTTCAGATGATAATTACTTTGTATTTCTTTTAATATGTATTCATTTGAAAGGCAGAGTTACAGAAAGAGAGGGAAATTCTTTTTTTAATTAATTTATTGATTTGAAAGAGTTACACAGAGAGAGGAGAGGCAGAGAGAGAGAGACAGAGGTCTTCCATCTGCTGGTTCACTCTCCAATTGGCCGCAACGGCCACAGCTGGGTCAGTCTGAAGCCAGGAACCAGGAGCTTCATGTGGGTCTCCCATGTGGGTGCAGGGCCAAGCACTTGGGCCATCACCTGCACTGCTTTCCCAGGCCCATTAGTAGGGAGCCGGATCAGAAGCAAAACAGCCAGGACTTGAACTTGTGCTCTGATGAGAGATGCTGGCGCCTTAATTCACTTTCTTAATTCACTCAATGAACAGGCAGGGAACACCCTCGAATGCCAGAATCGCAGCTATACACACAGAAAAAAAAAAAAAAAAAAGATCCGCTCGGGACACGTGCATTCCCTCTAAGTGTGCTGTCCAACTCGGTCTCAAGTTCTGATTCCTGCTTCTTGCTAATGTACCTGGGAGGCACTTGGGTCCCCGCCACCCACCTGGGAGATCTGGACTCCGGACTCTGGCCTGGCCCAGCCCCAGCTTTTTCAGGTGTTTGGGGAGTGAATCAGTAGATGGGAAAGTTCCCCCTCTCTCTGTCTCCACTGGTTCACTCCCCAAATGGCTGCAATGGCTGGAGCTGGGCCAATCTGAAGCCAGGTGCCTGAAGCTTCTTTCAGGTCTCCCACATGGGTGTAGGGGCCCAAGGACTTGGGCCATCTTCCACTGCTTTTCCAGGCCACAGCAGAGAGCTGGATCGGAAGTGGAACAGCCAGGTCTTGAACTGGCACCCATATGAGATGCCGGCACTGCAGGTGGTAGCTTTACCCGCTGCGCCACAGCACCAGCCCCCAAGTGGATCTTAAGCACTGGGCCAGGTGCCTGCCCCCCAAATCAATATTCAAGTACCTACTGAGCACCAGGTTGTGGCACTGTGATACAGCATGTCACCAAACTCAGCAGCCCTGGATGTCAGGTTGTGGCAGCTAAAAGCACAGGCTGGCATCTCACGAGGATTATTCTGCTGTGGCTCTGCCCAACACCAGCTATAGGGCTGAACACCCTATATAGGGCCCCGACACCCTGCGGGGCTGAACGCTGCTGGGTTTCAATTTCTGTGGTGGTCACGTGGGGGCACTCACACTGCCACCCTCACAGCTGTCCCATGAGCCACCCTGGGGGGGATAATGAAAGACTCCCAGCGCCTGATGGCCATCCTGTTACTGTAACCTTGAGGGTAGTTATTTCGGCAAAAGAAATGGACCGTTTGGGACGGTGAGTGACTTGGCCAACACCACCCAGGTTAGTGGTGGTGAAACGGGCACCTACAGGCTTCAGGGCCAGGTGTCCTTTCCTGCAACCCCGGAGGGATTTATAGAAGCAAAGTATGCATCTAGAACATTCTGGAACGTTCGAGTCCTGAATTTCGTGTCTTGGTAAAAAGCATTTTCCAAAAGATCTGTGCGGTCACTGCCCACCAGGCGGCGGCCACGTTAACCACCCCATCCTTGGGCCCCAGACGGGGGTCTGGGGTCTCAGCCATCCTGCGTGTGCACTCGGCTGACCCCGCCCTCTGCTCCCCCAGCTGTTGCAGATGTTCTACCGGCAACAGGAGGAGATCCGGAGGCTGAGGGAGCTGGTGACCCAGCGAGAGGTCCAAGCCAAGCAGCTGGAGCTGGAGATCAAGAACTTGCGGATGAGCTCCGAGCAGTGAGCGAAGGAGACCTCCGTCCTCCTCGCCCTCAGGGACACCTCTCAGCCCGTGGGGAGGCCCAGAACCACACTGCAAGTCCCCCGAGGACAGCCACTATTTCTATATTTTTTACCAGAAGACAAGACTCTCTCGGTCACTGAAAGATTGCGGTGGGACCCGGGGCCGTCTTTCTATTTGCCTTCTCACAGCAAGTTTCTGAATTGACTTTGTTTTTAGAGGATGCCTTTGCCTCCTGCTGAGTTCTGTTTGGAAGGTGAGCTAGAACGCCTCCTGGGGCAGGAGCTGCGTAGGCAGTGAGAGCCGCGGGACCCAGGAGGCTGTCCTGCCCGTGGCAGTCCCGCTGCGGGCGTCTCCCACTGCCCACCCGGTTCCACCGTGGCCCCTGCTTCTCTCTGTTGCATGCGTTGAGCTGCTATGGAATCCGTAATCCTGCACCTAGATTTGTTTTTTTTTTCAAAGATGGAAAACCAGTGATCTGGCCCAATGCCCTCGTTTTTACAGGTGGGGAAACTGAGGCCCAGAGAGAGTTGAGTGAGGTTTGTTTCTGGGAGAGCTGGCCTCAGCTCCTGCTTTCCCGGGTCTGGGTGTCTGATGCAGCCCTTGGCTCACAGTACCAGCATCCGCTGGTACTGCCCTTAGCTTGCGCAGTGAGTCCTTCCCTCTGTGGGACCTGCCACGCGTGATGCTGGTCTCAGGAGAACCACGTGTGGGGTGATGTCAGGAGTTTGCAGGGAGTTTGCAAAGGGGCCGCGGGGGTTCAGCCCAGTCCCACAGCACAGCCAGGAGAGCCACACCTTCCTTTCCCGCCACAACCAGCCAGTAGTGGGAGACTGCTGAGGGCCACCACCGGGGCCCTCGGGGGCATGGCCGGCTGCCGGCATGTTGTGAGCATTCAATCCAGGCTCACGAAGGAGGTAGAGGGCCCCCAGCCCTGGATGCCACGCACCTGCAGTCCCCCAGAGAGGTGGGATGGCAGAGGCCAGGCCATCAGCCCAGCGGGCCCCGAAGTTTCTCTGCGGGCCTCCGTGGGGATCAGCTCGGAACTTCTCACCGCCCACAGAGCCAGAGCCCAGCAGAGGAGCGAAGGGAGGGGCAGGCGACCCCGGAGCTCAGGCAGGGGCTGCAGGAGGCCCAGCCTGGGCGGGTTCATTAGTATCCTCCTGGGAACGTTCAGGACCTGAGGGGATGGCTGAGCCCCAGCGCAGATCAGCTGAGGCTGGGGCCTGGCCTTGCCTGTGTGGTTCTGCAGTGCTGGGGGAGGGGGACCCTGGGACTGGTCCTCTCTGCCCGTTTGCACTAAAGATGAGGAAGCCGGTGCCGCCCAAGAGGAGCTGGGACTCAGAGCCAAATCCTCTTCAGTCCTGGCTGGCACCGCCTACAAAGTCGAGCAGAGGTGTTGTGCCAAGCCCTCCCCCACACCAAGATCTCCGGAGCCCCAGCTGCAGCACGAGGCAGCCCTGTGCTTCCCTCCCCCAGCCAAGGCTGACTCCCCTGGGATGCCTGCACGCCTGAAGCCCATGGTCCTTGTCGCGTTCCCAGCTTACCCTGGCGTGAAGCCCCGGCCAGGCTTGCCTTAGCATGCTCCCTGGGGCAGAGGCCAAAGTCCAGGCACCATCAGGGCAGCGGGTGGCCGCCCCCAGCACTGCAGTGTTCAGGACGCACCTGCTGCTCCCACACAGGGCGGGCAACGCCGCCATCCACAGTCCCCAGGGTCACAGGGAGGACCCACTTCCTCCAGCTCTCCGCTCCCTGTGGGACCCCCTCCTCGCCTTTCAAAACAAGACGCAGGCATCAGAGAACAAACCCTTTTTTTTTTATTACATGTAGGATAAATTATTTAAATTATTTCACAGCAAGGGAGAGGGATAGGTAATTTTTATCAGCTATTTTTTAAGGCATCTTTTTTTTTAAGGTTAATGTTTTTGTCTATGTTCTTGCGCCGATGAAGTGGGACTTGGCCGGCATTCAGCGGGCGAGGCGGGCACTCAGCCCCTCACTCCACACCCGCCAGTGCCCTTGCTGTAGACTCAGGAACTGCCGGAGGATGACGTCAGCGCCTGGAGATGCGCTTGGGCCGGCTCCACCTTAGCTGCATACTAATTGTACTTCCTGGGACAAAACTTGAGATTGTGTCATAAAAGGGAAAACAGGAAGTCAGAAACCGATCTGTCTTTTAATATGAAACCGTGCCTGAAAGTTTGGATGATTGCTTTAATGTTTCTGAAATTCCTTGTACCTTTGTAAAAAAAATTATAATAATAATAAAGACATGGAACTAAATAGATGTGGAATTGTGCAATGGAAAGAATGTAACAAGATAATAAACCTCTGGCTAGACGTTTTAACACATAAAGCTTTCCTTGATTTGTTCCCCAAAGGTGTACCAATTAGGCACCTACTGTTTGGATCAGACACCCCAGGCTGAGAAACAGGTAGGGCAGGTGGGGGCCCAGCCCTCTGCAGAGTTCGCATGGTTGAGAGAATGGGAAAGGTCGGGGACAAATGTACACAGTGCTCTGAGAAGCTTGGAAGACAAAACCTGTGGCCCTGAGTAGGGCAAAAGGGCATTTGGGAACCAGAAAGTGTGTCCCAAGCTGAAAGACTCCTGTCTGGAAACAATGGGTGGGGCATAGACAAGTCAGGGCGCCAATGGACCTTGTAAGGGGAGCTTGGCTTCGGCTTGGGGCTCCCAGGGGCTTTCCTAAAATTCCAGCAGAAAGGATGAGAGGGGAAGGGGAATGGGAGCCGTCTGCGCTGGAAACTCAACTGGCCGTTCCCTTAGGAGCGCATCCCCGCTCCTGCCGATGCCACCTGCAAGCCAGCACCGGTGGGAGGCGCACCCCTGCTGGCCGAGGACTCTGCACTGGGCCGGATGGTGCGCCCTGCAGCGGGGCAGCGGGGCAGCGGGGCAGCGGGGGTGGGGGAGCCGCCCTGCCCACCCCCAGGTTTCGATTCCCCGCGGAGCCCCGCCCCGCACTGCGGAAGTCCGGAGGCGCTATTGCGGATGGCTGGCCCCGCGGCGCAGAGCGGGACCCCCGGGGGACAGGGCCCCGCCGAGCTCGAGGGAGCGCATGGCTGGCGCTGCCCCGAGCACAGCGACCGCGTGGCCGAGCTCTTCTGCCGCCGCTGCCGCCGCTGCGTGTGCGCGCTCTGCCCGGTGCTGGGCGCGCACCGCGGCCACCCGGTGGGCCTGGCGCGGGAGGAGGCGGAGCACGTACAGGTGCGGAGCGGAGCGCGCGGGCCGGGGCGGGTGGGCTCGGCGTTACGGCGGCCAGGTAACGGCCTGCTCCGCCCGTTAACGCGGTTGGGCAACCGAAAGTCGCCGAGCAGTCGCTCAGACGGCAGCCCTGCTGTTGAGAAGGGAAGACCGGGGTCCCAGGCAGGGGCAGAGATGAGTCCGGGCATCGGTTAGGCTTCAGAGAAGGTGGGTTTGGGAGTAGTCCGCCGCGCCCAGATGGGCACCCGCTGCGGGCTCGCCGCCTGGCCCTCCGTTAGCCGCGGCGGAAGGAGCCTTCCCCTAGGCAATGGGCAGGGTGCTGCGCAGGTCACCGGAAGAGGCTGTGAGTTGAGGGCTGCCCTGCGGGGAGCAGCCTGGCCTGGAGGCCAGCTGCACCCACTGCTTCTCCCTTGCCCTTAGCACTCCACCCGACACAGCCCGAGAGCCATTTCCAGCTAGCAGAAGGCCGTGGAGGTCGGCCTTGAATTCTCAGCTTGGCCCTCACTCCTATGCAATCCTGCGGGGGGCCCTGGGCTGGCGGCCCCACCGCCCGGCCGGCCTGTGCTCTGCTCAAATCCCCCTCTCACTCCGGGCTCCTGAGGCGTTGGCTAGGCAGGCCCTGCCTGCTTGGCTCTGCCCATGGTGGATCGGTCTGCCACTCCCAGCTCCGGGAAGTCTTCTGGGATGAACTGGGCAGTGCATGGCACCGCCATGCTGCACGGCCTTGGAACTCCAGGGTGACAGTTGGTCCGCAGGGAGCAGCTGGAGTCCTGAAAAGAAAAAAAGCAAAGCCTGTTGTAGAGTTCGTTAATGGGACTGTTTTCCCATTTGGTAACCGGCGTCTCAAACCCTTGAGACGGTCACTCCCGGACAGTCACCTGCCCTGTGCTGGGCCCTGAGCTCTGGAGCTCCCTCTCTCTTCTACTTGTCGGGTCCCTGCGAGTTGAACCCGCTGTGCCCCCAGGGTGCAGCCTCATCTTCATTGTGGCCTTCCTCAGGGTGCACCCACTACCTATGACACTCCAGTATCCACACACAGCCCACTTAGCCCTCATCCATTCCTTCGTCGGGTGTAGCTTGGACAATGAGCCAAGTCGTGGATCAGATCCTTTTCCCATCCACAGGCGTTCCCTGGCTGGATGGGGGGTGGGGTAGGGGGAGAACTGACAGTGCCCGTAGGCAGTGGCCAGTGGGAGCCAGAAAGCAAACAAAACAGGCCAGGAAGCCGAAGAAGACTTCCTGGAGGAGGTGCATTGGCCGTGGCCCTGCCGGGTGAGCAGGGCTTCAGCAGGTGCCAGGCAGGACAGGAGAAGCACCTGGGGCTGGATGCTCGGCCGCTTGGAGGATGGGGGCGTTCTGGGGACATGATGGACAGCAGCGGGATTTGAAGGCTTGGGAATCACAATGGGTTAAAGCAGCCAAGGCCGTGGCTTACCCCTGGGTCATGGCCATCCCCTGCCCGCCCCTCAGCCCTCACCACTCCATCCCTTGCCTGGAACACATTTGTGCATGGCATGTGCTTGTTGGGGCTTACAAAGCAGCTGGGTTGAGCTCTTGGTGTTAGCCAGCACCCTGCAAACATCTCCTGCAAGCCTGTAGGGTTGTTCCCTAGGGTTGTTTCCAGGGAAGGACACTTGAGGGCAGAGGAGAAAAGTGGCGGAGCAGAGCTGGCCCTCGGGCCTCTGTCTCTCCTCCCCTCACCGGGAGACTTCCGGGTCTCCCCGGTAACTCTGCCTGATTCAGCAGACGCTGCCGGCCCCTGTGGGGAGCTGGGAACGGAGCAGGTGCACCCTGAGGAAGGCCACGATGAAGATGAGGCCAGGGACCCGACAGGTAGAAGGGAGAGGGAGCTCCAGAGCTCAGGGCCCAGCACAGGGCAGGTGACTGTCCGGGAGTGACCATCTCAAAGGTTCGAGACGCCGGTCACCAGCAAGGCTTGTCCTTGTGCCCGAAGATTCAGGAACCCCAGGGTGGGCCTCCGAGGATGTGAAGCGCCGCGGTCC